AGGCGTCCGCAGTTCCGGGCTGGAGGTTAAATGGATGGAGCGTTTAAAGCAGGAAATACAAAACTCGTGACAACTCGTGGAACTAAAACTGTCACCTGCGTCGGTTTGACCATCATCACAATACAACTTCCGGACACGTGTTCGACGATTACATGGAGTTCTTTAAGTTAATACCCACTAAGTAACTAACTAACCAACCACATCGACAGCAAACCTTCAATTTCCGTCCCACAGTTAACATGCGTTTAGGGTTAATAAAGTTTCACCAGACAACTTCGCATATACTTCGACACCGACCAAATGCTTACCCATCAGTTAAATTGCAAGCCCAAACTAATAAGGATGGCTATCACTGAATGCAACGGAAGGGCTAGAAGCAGACCACAGGTCGGAGGGCAACAGTATTTAAATGTCGCTTAAATCATATACAGGACCGGTGAGGCTTTGTAGGCGGGGTTACTCAGCCAGATTTCCGAAGCTAGATGTTTGGCGATTTCGAAGTTTTTTGCGTTAACATACATTTTTGTCAGTAATTTTCGAGCATTAGAACAGATAAAAGGAAGAATCCATCAACCATTCAAAACATAATACTTACCAGGTGCACGTACGCTAGCTTCTCATATCTTTCGGGTTCGCGTGGAAGCGAATGAGGCAAAGCGGCTCCCGCAGCCCTTTTGGGGTCCTCGGCAATGTCGAGAGGTGCCACTAAAGTAAAGAAGAGTTATCGTAAGCCAGTCAAAAGGAACAAGGGCCTACAATCGTGGTAGAGCATCTTAAGCCGCACGCTGGCGACTGGCACTCTATAAATCTTCTCCAAGTACTGCCTCACATCGAACTGGGTCATCCTAGAAGTCGTAGAGGGAGCATTAGATAGAAAAATGAAGACATACTGTGGATGGACCTTAAAGACGGCGAGGCACTTGGGGCAATCTTTGCCGGGGTAAATCATTTTCATCCAAAATGGGGGAAGGAACATTCGGACTTGCGGATCACCAGGAGTGAATTTAGGGGAAACCACATGGCGGTTCCAGAGAGGTCTTGTAGAGGGAAAGGCGGTTAGGAAAGGTGTTACTACAACAAACTTACACGTAGTGCTTCGTTTTCGGTAAAGCGATTGGGTTGAAGTATATAACCGGACGCATTGTGCACGGTCTGTTGGAGAAGACAGATCATGCATTAGAACGAATGAATGAAACCTTGGAATTAAATGCGAATACTATGGAACAAACAGAGCGGCCTAGATAGCAGTCATCCATATTGAAGCGCGGCAAAAGACAAGTAATTGTAAGCTGGATCCAATTTTACAATTAAAAGACCGGGCAAAAAAACGGTCTATTAGGCTAAATAGATGTGAAGAAAAAGGAAGAGGTAATGTGAGCGCCGAAAAAGAAATGAATTAATTGGCTTGACAACCAAGAGAAAAGGATTGCAACTGAAGAGATAGGAGTTCTTATACGTATATATGTAAGTTAAAAGTAGTTTGTCGGTAAAACTAGAATTGGCTGGCCTTCTAGTTATGAAGATGAACGGTTACTACCCTCAAGAACTGTGTGAGAAATTAACTGCTAGAGCCATGCTGAATTTGATGACCTTCCAAGAAACCAGGAACCAATTATTAAGTTGGTACTAAATGGCGTAAAATAGTGTTTCTGCTAATGGCTGAACACGGTGAGCGGTGTATTTGAATAAGCCAACGGGGCCACGCTGTTATTAATGACTCACAGAAGGTTCCGCTGTACGTAACCTCAAAATTTTAAATAGATTTTCTGATCTTATATGAAATGACGCAGATGACGATTGATGCTACATATTCGGCAAATCACATTCACCCGTCATGTATAAGTCTCTCCAATCGTCGGCACACCGAACATTGGGTAGACTGCAAACGGCCGCGCATGGCATTTACTCTAACTGCCCACGATTCCCAGCTCATATTTAGCCCTTATGGAATTGAGATCTTTATTGCGAGTATATCCTGCAGAGGACCACAATACGCAATCCAACTGCACCTTTTCAAGAAAAACTTGGCGAACTACAATGGCTGCAACGTTCCCTGGACGCCTGAATCGATTGCATGTGATACTTACTTGCTTGTACTTGTTACGGCTGCGATCATGACTGATCTAGCCGGCCTCAATT